CATGGCCAAAGCTTGTAAGCTCCTTCACAGAAACTGGTGCCTTCTGTTGGTATGCTGCATGGAACTTGATTGGGTTCCTTTTGGTTTTATGGTTTTTACCTGAAACAAAGGGTTTGACTTTGGAAGAATTGGATGAAGTGTTCTCCGTTAGTACAAAAAAACATGCTCTTTGGCAAACAAAGAATTTCTTAAACGGTATTCAAAGAGTTGTTTTACGTCGCCATATCGATCCATTACCTCCATTATATGAACACCAAAAGAGAATGGCTGTGACTAATCCCGAATGGAATGATAAAACAGAAGCTTCTCATGTTGAGTAAATTCTTTATAAACACACTTTCAATTCATTTTTAGTACTATTTTAATAAATTCTTTTGTAATTTTAACAAAAAAAGAAGAATACTTCATCAGGGTATATTTGTGTAGAGTTCTTAGGATAACGCGAGTTGCAACAGTCTTAGTTCAGACTTATGCATAGCATATTTTTGTTTGGATCTCTTCAATTCTACAATATCAAAAATCATGTCTTGGATGCTAACATCTCCATTTTGATAGATGATACAAAATATATGACAAGATTCAATTTATATTTGTATTTTGTAAAAAGTTTGCAATTTTCCAAATTTTTGGCCAAAATCATTACAACTTTTTTTTTTTGTAAGATCGAATGCTATAGATCATGTTAAGAGAATTTACACTAGTGGTACATTTATATGAATATCAAAGATTTACTCCATTTGCAATCGTATTCTATAGAAACCCGCAATAATATTGACTGTATAATCTAGGTCTATATTTCCCTGTTAGTAGGGTTTGATGCGTAAAATTGGCGATATCAGAGATAAGGAGAATTTCACGGGAAATGACGAGACATACACCACAAAATCTGTATATGTTGTTATGATTAAATCAGTGCCAATTAGAGCAATGCGAGATCTATCTCGTTCCCAAGCTGAATCTTCAAAACCAACAAACACCAGATTTTGCAAAAATTGCGGTTGAGAATTCCGAAGTGGAGAAGACCGAGATATATATAATACTAAATCCCTTGATATTTAGCCTTTGAGTATATGGTGTAAGAGAACGAAAGATATATATGAACCATAATAGTATACAGATGTCTTCCAATAAATCCTTAAATGCACGCTATTTGTTTTATTTAGCTAAGTATCCATTATTTACCAAGTCGATCACGGCAGGTGTATTATCTGGGTTGAACGAAATAATTGCATCAGTTTTGGCCAAGGACTACAAATACACTAGAATAGCAGATCATAGAATAAAGCATGTTATAAGTCCAAAGATTTTAACCATGATCATATATGGTTCATTAATTCTGACTCCTATATCCCATCAGTTGTATGCTATTTTGAACAAAATTTACAAGGGCCCCAATTTATCCCCAATTATGAAAGTAGCTCAAATATTAACGTCGTTATCGACGATTACCCCAACATTGGCGGCGGTATTTGTTAGTTGGTTGTCTCTTATAAATAACTACACTTTACCTACAAAGAGCTTGAATATCACGCAAGAAATAAAGAAGATTGGATCCATTATTAAGAATGGATTAAGGACAAGTTACTTGCCCATTTTGAAATCGTCTCTTGTTACATCAACATGTACATTGATCATCGCTCAAAAGTTTATTCAACCTGAATTGTGGGTGGTTTTCTTCAACCTTGTATTTTTTGTAATGGGAACGGTTCAAAATACCAAATTGAAGAAACAACAGCAAAAGTTACTCAAGAAGAAGGATGACTAGATTATACTAGATTATAGACCATAGAAGTCGTTTTTTTAATACTATTCTCCAATTCAATAAATATTTTTCACTTAATTTGGGATGATCTGTCGGTACAGCCAATACCTTGCAAAGTACTCAAAATTTTTTTTGGAAGTTACCATTTTTCACATCTAACACCCCGCTAGACAATTAGTAATCGTTAAGAATAAGTATCAATATTGATAGGAGTTGAAGAATTATCCATGGGTAAGCTTCCTACACGACAAGACATATAAAACTATATGCAGTACACCGCAATCGTTTGTAGGTTGATTCTCCCGGAGATATAATACTTCATATATTGGTGATCTCTTTCAACTTTTCAGTGTAATATCTTGCTATATAGAAACATGTTTCGTAATCAATTGGCCAGAGCTTCAATCAGATCGACCAGTTCAATTAACCAAATTCGAAATATGATTACAGCACAAGCAGTTGTATATGCCCAACATGGGGAACCTAAGGATGTCTTAAAGACTCACAAGTATGAGATTGACGATGACAATCTCGATTCTAATTCTATTATTGTCAAGACTTTAGGATCGCCTGTTAATCCCTCTGATATTAACCAAATCCAAGGTGTTTATCCTTCGAAACCAGAAAAAACCACCGAATTAGGCTCTAGTGAACCAATTGCAGTGTGTGGTAATGAAGGCTTATTTGAAATCGTGAAGGTGGGTAAAAATGTTTCAAACTTCAAGGAAGGTGATTGGTGTGTTCCATCTGCTGTGAATATGGGAACTTGGAGAACTCACATGTTATGTGGCAGTGAAGAAATGACTAAGATTCCTAATCCCGAACAATCCAAGGCTAATGGAAAGCCAAATGGGTTATCTATCAACCAAGGAGCTACAATTTCGGTGAATCCTTTAACCGCTTACTTGATGTTGACTCATTACGTTAAACTCACTCCAGGTAAGGATTGGTTTATTCAAAACGGGGGTAATTCGGCTGTTGGTAAATATGCCACCCAAATCAGTAACTTATTAGGAATCAACTCGATTTCGGTTGTCAGAGATAGAGAAAATCTTCAAGAATTGATCAAGGATTTGACTGAAGAATGCGGTGCCACCAAGGTCATCACTGAAGAACAAAATGCATCAAAAGAATTTGGTAGTGAAATCAAATCGTGGCTTAAAGAAACTGGCGGTGAAATCAAATTAGCCTTGAATTGTGTTGGGGGTAAGAACTCCACCGGAATTGCCAGAAAATTGAGCAACAACGGTTTAATGTTAACATACGGTGGTATGTCGATGCAACCAGTCATTTTGCCAACTTCTTTGCACATTTTCAAGAACATTACTTCCTCTGGATTCTGGGTCACCCAATTATTGAAGAACGATATGGAATTAAAGCGTAAGACATTGAACCAAATCATCGAATGGTACGAAAATGGTCAATTAAAAGATGCTCCTTCCAAGGAAACAAAGTTTAACTCAAACGATGACTTGAGCAAGTACTATATTGATGGCATTGTAAACTCCAAGGGTGGTAAGCAATTAATTGTGTATTAGTTTAGCATCCTCTTGTTCATACCTACATATTCTGGAAGAATTCTCGTGTGTTTGTAGATACGAAATATCTTCATGACGTATTTTTAAGCTTGTGATGCTGCATTAAGGGCAACTGATAAAAATGATTTCTTGACAAAATATACATATCATGACTTTAACTCCCAAGCTATACGTATCTACTCCATATATAATTCCGACTAACATTTGTTAGCAATCTATGTGTTTTACTTCTCGATTTGTCGACTTCTCTGTTCCCAACCTCTACATTTCAACCATTCACTTTTCCGTACTACTTTCAAAACTGTACACAATTTTCCCTGACCACTTTTTGGTGTACTAACGTTCTAGATGTATTGGTGTTTTTGCCCGCACCGTTTGTGGTATCGACCTTACAGAAAAGAAATTCATCGTCCGGACATACCCGAATTTTGTAGCATGCGGCATTGAGATGATGCCAGAATGCAGGCTAGAACTCATCATAAGAAGTTACACACATCACTACGAATAGCTTTCAGCACCTGTAATTTACGACTAAGGACTAAACTAGGTGTTTGAAGATATCATGTAGACATTGGGGGAATTATTACATACATAATATGTTGAAGGATTGGTATTTTAGAGCACATATGCATTTGAGGATTGTGGAATAAAAATGGTCGAAATATGCGGGTCGTGGTATCCGAGCTCTTTTAATGCAAAATTCTTATCAGAGAAAAAGCGGATAACAGATTCAAATTAATTTCTATTTTGTTTTCTCTTAGTAGCCAGTGGCTTTTATTGTTGATTTTCAGGGGATAATTAACAGGATCGGGTACAAAACTGGAGAAAGTTTTTTAGTGATTGTATTTATAGGTTCCGATAAGTGAGAAAATTATATTTGGGTATTTGTCTATATTTTTTTTTAGATAAGAAAAAATTAGTTTGTTGTACATAGGTTTAGACCATTAGGTATTATTTAAAAACTTTGTACAGAAGAAAAATAATTGATAACAGATATGTCGCGTGCGTTATCATCTAACAGGGTGTTGATTGGAGATGAAATTAGACCTGGGACTATCATATTTTCGATCGAGAGTGGAAAAATTTTACACATAGAACACAGGGTGCTAGAGGTGTCGGATCATATATTGAGGGTTTACAATGTGTTACCATACGATTACAGAAATGTTTCGCCATTGGTAATCATGCCGGGATTGGTGGATGCTCATGTGCATCTTAATGAACCTGGGAGAACCGAGTGGGAAGGCTTTGCTACTGGAACACAAGCTGCTGCTTCTGGGGGAGTGACGACTGTAATTGACATGCCTTTGAATGCTATTCCACCTACCACCACCATAGCCAACTTCAACTTGAAGATTAATGCTGCCAAGGGCCAGACGTGGGTTGATGTGGGATTCTGGGGTGGTATGGTGCCACTGAATTTGGAGCATTTGAAGCCGTTGATATCGATGGGGGTAAGAGGATTCAAGGGATTTCTCATTGATAGTGGTGTTGAAGAGTTCCCTGCTATCGACACAGATTACATTATGAGGGCCATGGCTCTGGTGAAGGGACTTCCCACGTTGTTGATGTTTCATGCTGAGATGCAGCCTAAGCCCAAGGTGGGCCATGAGACGTTGTCAATTGAAAACTTGGATAATGAGGCACCAGAGTTGCCTAAGAAAGAGACCCCAGCCCATTTTACCCTTGGAGATGAGTCGGATTTTGAAATGGACGAGGCTCAATACACCAAGCCAATTGACAAGAACCTTCAAAAATTATCAAAAGAAATCGATGCCAGTGAAGTAGGAATGACCGATTCCTTTGTGCAAAGAGCTCCCACACCGGTGGTTGATATTTTGGCTACCCAAAAATGTTGCAACGAAGACCACGACTATTGTTCTTTACCTCATAATCACGCAGGCTCGATTGATCACTCAGTATTGAGTGATGAACAAGCTAAAGCATTGGCTAAATCATCATTATTGGCAGCAGCGGAGCCTACACATGGAAAATACGCAAAAATGGCCAATCATATTTCTAACCAAGACCAGCATCCGGAGGACTACGAAATAATGGAAAGCGAGCAGGAAAACGAACTCCATCATTTTACAAAAGAGCCGTCAGTTGACGCTCCTTTGGTCTTGGCTCAAAAAGACGATTCTTTATTGGAAGATATCGATCCTACATCGTATGCAGCATTTTTGGCTTCGAGGCCTGATAATTTTGAAACAACTGCCATTGCAGAAATAATAAATTGTTCCACTAAAGAGCCCTCAGTTCCATTGCATATTGTTCATTTGGCTACTCACGAAGCCATCCCGTTAGTCAGAGCTGCCAAAGCCCAAAACTTACCTATATCAGCTGAAACGTGTTTCCATTACCTATCTTTAGCAGCTGAGAAGATTCCAAACAATTCCACTCACTTTAAATGTTGTCCACCAATTAGAACAGATGACAATAGAAAATTATTATGGAAAGCGTTAAGAAATGATGTTATATCAACAGTTGTGTCTGATCACTCTCCTTGTACTCCTGAATTAAAGGGGTTAGAAAAGGGAGACTTTTTCTCAGCTTGGGGTGGTATATCATCTGTTGGTTTTGGTTTGCCTATTATGTTTACTGAAGGTTCAAAACAGGAACCACCAGTAACTTTACTGGATATCAGTAGATGGTGTTCCTGGAACACCGCTAAGCAAGTAGGCTTATCGAATTCTAAGGGCAAAATCGATATTGGTTTTGATGCTGATTTCTTATTGTTCGACCCTGAAGCCGTTTACACTATCACGAATAGTAAAACATTCTTTAAAAACAAATTGACTGCATATGACGGCATGGAATTTATGGGTAGAGTAATGGAAACTATAGTAAGAGGTAATTCAGTGTTTGCTTTAGGTAAAGGTCACTCAGATATTCCAATGGGTAAATTAATATTAGAACCTAGAGTGAACTAAATCTCTAGATTAGCATTATGCTTCATTAATTTTGTAATTTAATGAATATAAATTCGTATATTTAAGATGTATTCCTAATCTCTATGTATGGACATAATTGGGTCATAAGCTCTGTAGTCGCTAAATAACTAAATTTAGAGGCTTGTCACCATACTTACTTTTATATAATCCTAATGCCTTGATTGGAAATAAAAATTTATATGAATCATATTCAATAGCACAGCTATGATTGAAAACACCATTCACGTCTTCAAATTTCCATTCACCAGTACGCTTTTGTCTCTTCATTAATAAAGCAAGACCTTTTTCGATAGCTTCTTTATTTGGGTAGTCAGCCAAAATCAATCCTATTAAGGCCCACGAAGTTTGAACAACTAATGATTGTTCTGTGTTGATATAGGTACCAGTCTCACAGGATTTCATAGATTCGGACCACCCACCATCAGCCAATTGCTTTGAAACTAAGAAATCGCATCCCTTTCTTACGGTTTCAGAATTGACGTAACTATGTCCGACTGAATTTAACGCTTCAAGGGCAAACATAGAGGCATATGTGTAGCAAATACCCCATGAACCATACCATGAACCATCTTTCGCCTGGGCCTTGATTATGTAGTTTATAGCGTTTTCAATCGCAAATTTAATTTGATCTGTTTTATAGTTTGGATAGTATTCAGCAAAGTAAGTCAAACCCAACACCGAAGAATCGGTACATTCTACATAAGGATACTCAACCATAATGTTATTGAAAACTTCTGCTGGATTCAACTTTTCTAAGAGTGGCGTAGCTCTTATAGTCTCGTACGAGGAGAATGAACCGAACTCGAAATCATTGACATTTTGAATATTCAATATAACATCAACTGCGTTAAAAAGGTTTTCGTCTTCTATATCGTCTTTGATATCAGCAAATGCTGGATGATTCTTTACCATTATAATAGCTTTTAGCGCTTCAGCAGAACAATCACTCACTGTATAGCCTTGTGTTTTAGTGCTAAATGGCCAGCCACCTTTACGTTTGTCTCTGAAACTTCCATCAACACAATCCTCGGTGAATTGCGATCTGATCAAGAACTGGTATCCCCTACGGATCATCTCTTGGTATTTAGGAAACTCTGATAATCCAGCCATGAAGAAATACTGAACCATAAAGGCTACATCCCAAACCTGAACACCATTAGTACCCATGATTGTCATACCTTGAGGGCCGTGGAATAATGTGTCATTCATTCTATATTTAAATCTTTCAAAAGCGTACGACTTAGGACCCTCTTCGAGGAATGTTATAATCATGTTAAAGGCAAAATTCACGGGAGCAATGCATAGATAATCAGTATTTGCACATTCCTTTTTAATCAAGTCATAAACCCTATCATTCGACTTCTTGAGGAGCCATTTTGGCCTGATGTATTTCTCATACTTCACCAACCCCCAGTTAAGACAGTCTAAAACAGTCGTATGAGGGTAGTATAAATCAACCCCACAAACATTATTTCTATGGTTTTGGAAGTCGATTTTCTCATATGGCAACTGTTTAGGCAAATAAATTTCGTTTCTAATTTCTTGCAATAAGGGATCTAATTCACACTTAACTTTGTATGAAGAAACATAACCAAGAGGTAAATAAATGGCTCTGGTATGAACCCACCATCTCCCAGGATGAATTGGAAAACCATATGGCAAGAGCCACATTTCTGGTGGTGCTGGATTAACACCTTCCCACTCATATAGACTCAAGATCGATAACCACGCCTTACCCCAATGTGGGTTTCCCAAGGCTCCTCCTAGTCTATGTAATGTATTACGGGCCTTCACACAAACAGGATGATCGGCTGGCATTCCAAGCAATCTCAATGCCACGTAGTTCATGGTGGTTCCAAAACACGTAGACTTGTCGATAGAATGCAAACCCCAACCTCCATCAACTGGATGCGACGTATTCACAAGATACCTTATCATTTCCGTTCTGTACGGCTTAGGAATTTCATTCTTGGTGAAATAGTTTGCAGCTATGTACCCAATGCTCATGAACATAGGCCCACGGTATTGACAAGGGAACATTCCGCTTGGTTCCTGCAATAACTTAAAAAAATCCGCTCCTTTCTTTGCAGCCTCGAATGGCGTCCTAATATTCGACTCCTCAGGTGCTGGAAAGCTTTCTAACTCCAACAAATATTTGACATAGTCTGATTGAGGGTTTTTTTCACTCTCTTCTACACTCAAGTAGTGCCATGTTTCCCTGCCCAATTCATCGGTTACAAGTCTCCAACGATGGGGATCCGTTCTATCGATTCCCAATTCTTCAGAATAGTACATTATGACAATACGGTCCTCTTGTTGTTTTTGTATGGAACAACTATGTCTTTCTGATGGTCGTACTGTTTAGTACCGTATAACGGTTCTGCTGCTAAACGATGGAACTGATCAGGTGACTAAATAAACAAGACCCATGCACCAATATAAAACCCAAACATCAAATTATCAACAACAATTACACAAAATTAAAATTCTACGACATTCAGTTTTATATCCATAGCACGCACGACCAGATGCTCCATTCAAGTAAAGTGACACAAAACACGGATCATCAAAAATTAGTTTCGGGCAAAAATTGATGGGGTCGTGCATATGACCATTATTGTACTCATCTAGAAAAAACTTATTGCAGAAGTGCTTTCCAGTCCAGTTGTGGTGAAAGCAGGTTGTTTAGAAGTAGATTGAGTATTGAATCAGTTCTACATATTGGTACCAGTTGATTCATACGTAATTAGCATATTAGTATGGGCAAAAGAAAGTTGGAAGAAGTCAAAGCCAGAGACAAAGTCGATGCACAAGACGTGAGCGGCAGATTTGGTGGTGAAGTAGAAGACGAGCCGGAACCAGTGAAAAATGGAAAAAATAATAACGAAAGCAGCGAAGAAGATGAGTCAGACGATGGAGATGACGATGATAATGAAGAGGAAAACAAAAGCCAGACACATTCGCATCCACCAAGCAAGAAACAGAAGAAAGCATTATCGGCACAAGAAGTGCAAGTGGCACGAGAAACAGCGGAACTCTTCAAGTCCAATATCTTTAAATTACAAATAGACGAGTTGGTGAAGGAAGTGAAGTTGAAGGACAGCCATGTGAGCAAGATTGAGAAAGTTTTGCACCGATTGCACGATTTCATAAATAAAATACCACCGATTGAAAACTTAACCTTGCAACAGGCCGAAAACCATTTTAACTCGAAAAAGTTAGTCATTCCATTCCCAGACCCGAAACCTACTAAAGTGAACTATACATTTTCGTACTTGGCACCAGAGGATGTGTCGTTAGTGGGATCTTTTGGATTGAAGACAGGAATAAGCCAGGCCAACGGCATGTCGATTGATATTGCATTGACAATGCCAAGCGAATTATTTCAACCAAAAGACTATTTAAACTATAGAGCATTATACAAGAGAGCGTTCTATTTGGCATATGTCGCTGACAATTTGATTCCCTTGTCGAAGAAAAATAATTTACCAATTAAAATCACTTACCAATTCTTAAACGACGATATTTTATGTCCTGTATTGAAGTTGGAAAGTATAAAGACTGATAATCAGGATGATTTAAGTTTCCATAAGACCAAATTTACAATTAATATAATAGCAGGCTTTCCATTTGGCATATTCGATGCTAAAAAATTATTACCAGATAAGAATTGTATCAGAGTTCAAGCTGAATCAAAAGATCTCCCACCAACACCTATATACAATTCTTCCATTCTTTCACTGACTTCATATGATTACTATTTAAAATTCTTGTACACTAGCAGAAAGTCAACTGAAGCATTTAAGGATGCTTGTATATTAGGAAGATTATGGTTACAACAGAGAAACATGGGGTCAGCTGTAAATAAGGGTGGGTTTGGCCATTTTGAATTTGCTATATTGATGAGTGCTTTATTGAATGGTGGTGGAGTCAATGGAAATAAGATTTTATTACATGGATTTTCATCATACCAGCTATTCAAAGGTACTATAAAATACTTAGCTACGATGGATTTATCAACAGGTTATCTTTCTTTTTCAAGTAGAATCGGAGAAGATGTTACCTCTAAGTACAACCCTGAAGCTGGATTTAATGTTCCAACCATATTTGATAAAAACGTTAAATTAAATATACTATGGAAAATGACTAAGTCATCCTATCAAACCTTACGAGTTCAAGCAGTGGATACACTTCACTTACTTAATGACGTGGTTAAAGATAGGTTTGATCCTATTTTATTACAGAAAACCTCGTTTGATCAAATGAAGTATGATGTGGTTTTGAACTTATCTATTCCTGATGAATTGTATGATTCATTTGGTCCCTTAGAGAAGATATCATTCATTAGTTTTGATAACTTCTTAAAACACAAATTGTACTTGATTTTAAAGAATGCCTTAGGAGAAAGAATTTCTCAACTACACATAAGAAACGAAAAATTCAGTAATATTTTCCCAATCAATAAAAGAAAACCATCTAATATTAATTCTAACTATATTATTGGTCTTCAGTTAAATCCAGACGAATGTGAAAAGTTGGTCAGTAAGGGACCAAATAATGACGATGAAGCGTTAGGCTTGAAATTCAGGTCATTTTGGGGATCAAAAGCATCTTTAAGAAGATTCAAAGATGGTACTATTCAGCACTGTGTCGTTTGGACTGCAAAAGCAAGCGAACCGATTGTTTTGTCAATAATTAAATATGCACTCGACTTGCATTTAAATCCAGATATTTCACAGCATTTAGTTTTTGAAGCTTCGGGATTCAATATTAAATTGCCTACTCCATTATTACCGTCTGCATCAAACCAACTGATTACATCTTTGGCAAGTTTCACTAATTTAAAGAACTCATTCGAAGGTTTGTCAAAGATTTTAAGTAATCTTGACTTACCACTTAACATCAAGGCCTTATTACCCGCTTCGCCAAGTTTAAGGTATTCGTCTTTATTGCAACCTGTTCCATTTGCATTATCAAACCCTGATTTCTGGAATGATGCTGTGTTACAGTTTGAAACTTCAACTAGATGGCCGGATGAAATCAGTGCTTTAGAAAATACAAAGACTGCCTTTTTATTGAAAATTCTTGAAATATTGAATCAAGAAACCGCATACAAGTCGTTTATAACAAAGGACGATTCAATTCTGTTCAATGAATCGATAACCCTCTTGAATATTTTAACGCCAGAAGGTTATGGTTTCAGAATAAGAGTTCTCACAGAGAGAGATGAATTCTTATATTTAAGAGCTGTCAACAATGCAGACAAACAGAAGGCTTTATTGCAAGATGTGTATTTGAAGTTTAATCTGAAGTACTTAGGTGTTGTCAAACACACAAGAACAGTAAGTACTCTAGCTCATCATTTCCCATTTTATTCACCAACGGTAAGGTTATTTAAACAGTGGCTTGACTCGCAGTTATTGATGCATCATTTTTCAGATGAGCTTATAGAGTTGATCGCATTGAAACCTTTCGTTGACCCAGCGCCATATTCGGTACCACACTCCGTTGGAAATGGATTCTTACAGATTTTGAATTTCTTATCTAATTGGAATTGGAAAGAAGATTCTTTGATATTAGATTTGGCAAAAAACTCTAATGAGTTAGAAGAAGAGATAACTATAAAATTAAGCGACAGATTAACTATACAAGCACATCAAATAATTGAACAAAACTTCGAAAAAATAAGAAAGTCAGACCCATCGGGTATTAGAACCCAATTGTTTGTTGGCTCAAAAGATGATCCTTCAGGTATTTTATGGTCTAATAATTTGACTTTGCCAATTGCTAGTAGATTAACTGGATTAGCTCGTGTTGCCATTCTGTTACTTAAGACCGAAGGATTTTCAGATTCAAATATCGACTTACTTTTCACTCCAGCCTTAAAGGATTATGATTTTGTTATCAAAGTAAAAACCAACAATTTGACTACTTCTTCTGGTATTTTGCCTTCAAATACATTCAAGAATTTGGTTGGAACTGAGACTTCTTTCCCAGATGATGTCACAACCAAATATGATTTAGTCCAAGCTTTTGTTGAAGATCTTAACAGAAAATTTGGTAACGTTATTCTTTTTTCTACTAGAAAGTTTACTGGCTTAAATGAGGACGGATCGAATGTTATAAGTGGAATATTTGTTCCAAATAGCATATCCAAGAAAAAGTTTAGGGCTAATTTGGGAATCAATGTCAAACCTGCGGAAGATCAAAAAGAAGATGTGATAGTCAATAAGGATGCCATTTTCAACCAAATTACATTATTAGGTGGAGATTTAGTTCAGTCCATCAAAATTAAGAAGTAAGTAATAGTTCTAAACTATTATATTAATATTCAATCGTCTTTATACTACTGTATATATATATATATTAATTATCATGTAAGAGACAAAAATTTTGCTTGTAGCGGTTTTACCAGATTCGCAAGAAGGTATGGTGATAATATGGTGATCTGTCGGTATAACTACTACTCCAGGAAATTGAGTATCTCACTTTCTCCGCTTATTTACATTACCGATCCATTGTTAAATGCCGTTTAACATGTTAGCGCAATATCTTAATACATATCTGGGTAAAGATTCGGGTGGATTGCCATGAGTCAGGACCAGATTTC